TGGCTCAAGCCGGCTGAGGTTGCCGCTTTTCTCCGTCTCCCAACTGCACCCAATTTGGACTTCGGCGGGGACTCCTGACCCAACAAGGGCTACTAACCAACCAACCGGGCGTAAAAAGACTCTTTGGTAACATCGTCGTCGTTCGCCACAATCAGGTGTGCAACTTAGAAGGGCAGGAAGATGTTTTGAAAGACTACCCCAGTAGAGCTTGAGTCATCTGCGGAGAGCTTTTACAGGCAAGCTGCCTGTTGCGCTGACACATCCATTCAAGTAAAGCTTGCCTCACTGTATTCCAATTAACCAGGCAGAGGTTATCGACCTCAGAAAGGCTGATTCCACGGGATAATTATGCCACCACCGACAAAATCACCGAATTTTTAGAAGAATGTGAAAACGAAAACAACCAAACCAAAAAAACCGGGGTGTGCAGGCTTACTTGCAATATTTCTGCATTTCCTGCGCATGCAGTCCAAATGACTCAGAATGGCGACCAGTTGATCGAGGTGTTCCGAGGTGCCGACACCCCTACAAAAGCAAAAACAAAAACAGTCCGTGAATGTAGACCTTCTTGAAAGCAAATTACAATAAAAAGAAAACGGAAGATTTTTCTCTGCGCCTGCCTGCTTGTATGGTGCGGTAATAGGTCAGGTCAGGTTTTATTGAGGGAAATAGAGGTAAATACCTTTGAACTCCCTATTGGTACAGAACAGTTATGCAATGCATTGGTTCAGCAGAACATTTCAGAACAGTGGCGTTGTCAGTAATTGGAACTGGGTAAAGGAGGGCCGACAGTGAAAAAACTCCTTAGGTATTGTTCAGAAAGTCTAGGGGTTTGAATGCCATTTGAGGGATTTAAGGAGAAAAACTGTCGCCAGTGGAGGGGGGGGTGGAGAGTATATTCTAATCGGATGGCCTGTGCTGAGAGTATTTGAGCATGTCAGGAGGAGCCCATCGCGGTTTTTGGCATAATCCTAAAGAGCCCACGAGAACAAGGTGCCTTGTTACAGCTACTGATCAGAAGATACGTTTTAATGGTCGCTATGGCAGTCTGTAGACGAAGTCGGTTGGGAAATGCCCATTTAGATAGAAATTCCTGAGAACTGGTATCTCCTCACGAGAACATTATTTTAGTCTCTCTGGCCGCATGAGGATATTTGTTAAAGGCTTATGCTCGGGCTCAGTCCCAGGCACAACTAGCGGCAATGCAGGTAGTATTAGTACCAGCAGCAGTGTAGTGTCAGTCAGAATTCAACCTTCCAGGACGAAGATCAACATTGGGACGGTGACAGGATTCGGACCACGGCTCTGTGGGCAAACCAGTCAACCATGATTCTACGGCTTACCTGAAGGAGATGCCCATGAGCCCAAAAAGCGATATCAGCAGGCTACTTCAGCGCACATTTAACCTAAATCACAAAAACCGATGGGTCGAATGAAGGTGGAAAATACTTCGGCCGTGTGTGTGAAGAGTTTCACCCGGACTTAGAAAGCAACAATCCCGGGTAGTCAACCCCCTAGACCACAGCAGTTCCTGCTGTGGTTCCCACGGCGGCCAAGGTCTGCTACACCAATATCCCTACGGTG